GAGTGATTGGAAGATTCTTGAATGGTTCTTACGCCCCAAAACCCCAAAACCCCAAGCGACTAGGTCAGATAAGAAATAAATAAAAATAAAATTGAGATTCTGCAAAATTAAAGCAAATACACATATATAAATAATCATCAAACGATTTTTGATAATAGAATAATTTAGAATTAATATGGGTAACTGTGGAGCTTGCTGCGGAAAAGCAGATACAAATGAGATAGTGACTGAAAAACAGCAAAAACAAAAGGGAGTTAGCAGTGGCAACGAGATGACTAATGACCTCAAGAGAAAAGAAAAGTACTATTAACTAGTTGCAATTAACTTATATTATAGAAATAGAAATGATGATTAGATGGGAAGAGACATTAACGATCAGTTCAACAATTAGGACTTGGAAATCAATAATGAAAATTACAATAACCCTAAAGTGATGGTAAAAATGATTTCAATTAATTTTTGCTCAGGACATTATGAGGGAACTGCCAGGTTTCGAATGGGGAACTCCATCTGATGACGGAATTAAAAGAATAAAAAGACCAATTTTATTGCTTGAAAACGGAGCTAAATACGAGGGTGAATGGTAAGAATCTTTTCTCCAATTTACAATTACGTGCAGGATTGCTGACTCAGACATCAGAGATGGAAAGGGTATTCAAATTTGGTTAGATGGATCTCGCTACGAAGGATACTGGAAAAATAATAAAGCAAACGGAAGAGGTAGATTAATTCATGCTGATGGAGATGTCTACGAGGGTGAATGGAAAGATGACAAGGCCCATGGTCAAGGAGTGTACACTCATGTTGATGGCTCCAGATATGAAGGTCAATGGCTTGAAGATAAACAACACGGATTTGGTGTTGAGAGATGGCCAGATGGTGCATCTTACGAGGGACAATACTCTCAGGGTAAAAAGCACGGTAGAGGCAAATTTACGTGGGCTGATGCCAGTACTTTCACTGGTGACTTCCAAGACAACAACATTCACGGAAGCGGAATTTATGAATGGGCTGACGGAAGAATTTACACTGGTGATTGGAAAAATAACAAGATGGAAGGTCATGGTACTTTTACTTGGCCTGATGGCAGAAAGTATGTAGGTCAATACATCGATGATATGAAGCAAGGCCAAGGTACTTTTGAATGGCCTGATGGAAGAAAATATATTGGAAACTGGGACAAGGGTAAATAACATGGAAAGGGTATTTATGTGAATGTCAAAGGAGAAGAAAAGCATGGTGAATGGGAACATGGAAAGAGAATTAGATGGATTGAGAACTGATTCACTTATGATTGACTAGCACTTAGAGAATGAAGATTGAATACTGAATTTTACTTATTTGCTCACTAAATAATTTTCACTTTATAAATTCCGTGTTTTTATTTCTCCATCCTCTATCTGATGAATTACTTAAGCCATGCGGGGTTTTGGGGTTTTGGGGTTTTGGGGTTTTGGGG